AATTGTTTGGAAGTTAATGTTTAATTGTACCGTCGCGTTAAGTGCCTTAGAAGGTCGCGTTCCGCTCTAGAAATAATTTGTTGCTGAGTGAAACGGAAGTGAACTTTGACCCACCGTTCGTTAGTCGTGCCGTGTGTTACGTTTTTGATTATAATTAACGGGGATTTAGTTGAGTTGAGTACAATAAAGTTGATAGACTGACATAGTGAATTGAAGAAACAAATTTCCAATTGGTGACGTCCGCTGGAGTGAATTACATTGTGGGGCAGCATCGGACCAGGCCGCTGCCCGATCACCTCAGCTGGGTCAGGCCACATATATAAACACACCACTAAACACCACTTACATACATTACACCTACCGCCTGACCGAGCCTTGTGACCAGTCTTCTCCTCTGAACAGGTACGTATTATTTATTTACCTAGCCTAATCTCTATCGTGTAGGTCAATTGTCCATAGGCCATTTGGGCCCCGTCCTTAGTTGGCCGTCGAGTCTACAGCTATATGGGCCCCTGTATAGTCGACCTTTGTCGGGACAGCTAGGGGCGTGTATAACCAGCATCTTCTATAGATTATATCCTTATCTAGCGAGACCTACACTTCACTCAATTAATAGAATCAAGCGTTATTTTGTGAAAGAATTTTTAAATTAATTAGTTAAGATAGTTTGAAACAAACCTCCCTTCTTCTTAAATAGCCACCGTCAACACTAATCATAACACCACTAGACTAGGAAATAAACACCACCGCTAATAATACGAAACGTGTTTAGCCTCTAAACGAGGTATTATCAGGAGACAAAGACTTTGCGCAGTCTGCGTAGTGTGTAGTCGTGACTTGGTCACCCTGGTCACCCCCGATGAACGATGAGGAACCCACATAGCTGGGTCGAGGTAGCTACTACAAGTACGTTCGGCGTAACTACTCTGAATGCGTATTGGCGAACGTCACAGAGGAGAAATATTCGCGGAGAAAACGGGGTGTTGTTATGGCGAGGTGCCACTCGCCCTATTCTCCGTGATACTGGCGGTGCCTCACCGCACATGTGGTGGTGTTGGGGCCGCGGGACTTTGGAGTAATGGTATAATGATGTACTCTTCTTCCTATACTCCGCGGCTGATACGTGGTTGGATGAAGCCATAGACTATCTTCATCGCCCCATGATCGCTTTAGTCAGTGCGAGTCCGAATAACCGTTTCACCATGAAAATAAATGCCAGTTACTCTTGATTCCACTGAAGATATCCTCTTTTCTTTTCTTTTTTTTTTGTATATATTTTTTTTTCAAATAATGTTGTCTAGTATTGTATATTGTATTTCGATACGAACACGGCCGAAGAGAAATGAGGCACATGACCAACTGCTTAACGTGTTTTCTAAGTCACGGGGATAAACACCGCTGACTTTCTGACTCCAGCATGCTACTGAGAATTTCTATACAGAAATACCCAGTAACAGATTTTGGTCTAACTCGGGATTCGAACCCCAGACCACAGGTTCAGCAGTCGCGCTTACGGCCACAAGACTAATGAGTCAGTCATTTTACGGAAGATTTTACTACACTAAAGATTTCTTAATAACGCAATTATTAACTTCATTCTAATAAAATATCGGAAGGTGCAATTCAATTCTTGATTAATAAACTCAAAGGGCGCGTTCTTGAAGATAAAACCAACTAAGCGTACAAATTGGCATAACAAGCGCACGAACCATTGAGCCGTGTAACGGACCCCAGCTGTGTCGCGGCCCGATAATGAATTTCAATTTCATACTTATTTCACTCGTATATAACTCGTATCTGTCACATAAAATACTGCGCGGGAAATTTTTGAGTTGAGACAACCGCAAACCTGGCGAATTTTATAAACTATATGAGTTTTACTTCGTCATCATCATCATCATCATTACAGCCCTTCACAAGTCCACTATTGAACATAGGCCTTCCCCAAGGAATACCTCAAAGCACGGTCCTGCCACTAGCATCCATTGACTTCCTGCATATTTTACCAGGGCGTCACTCCATCTAGTGGGGGGTTGCCCTACACTGCGCTTACGAGGCTGCCACTCGATAACCTTTTTTCCCCATCGGTTATCGGTTCTTTGTGCTACGTGGCCGGCCCATTGCCAGTGCACAGTGAAGGGCCACGTCTCAGTTCCATAAGTCATCGCTGGCAACACGCACTGGTGGTGGGCTATTCTTATAATCGTTGAATTATCGCTTACATACATTAGGTATTATACGAATTAATGTAGGTTTGGAAATGGCAGTGTCTCTGAGTTAGAGAGAACACTTTATCGCTGTACCGTGGAGACCTAAGAGAGTCCATTGCCTCATATCATCCCGTGAGTGTTATATGACGCGACAGAGGGAAATGAAAGCGAAGACGGGCAGCAGCATATACCTGACAACAACTCAAAATTATAAAGAAAACGCTGTTACCAATTTGTGTCTAATACGAGTAAGGCAAGGGTTGTTACAAGCATACAGACCATCTGATGGTAAGTAGATGCTGTGGCCCATAGATATATACATTCTGTATTTATGTCCTCGATTAAAACTCAAAATGCAGATGCGTTGTTACCACTAACGACTACGATAGAATGCCTCGCCAGCTAGGACTAACAAGTACAGTATCACTTAAAATATTTTTACCGTCTTGCCGTCTTACTATGCAGTGTCTTGTAAAAATTTGAAAAGCCCTGCAGGCCATCCCTGGAACTTCCCGCTTATTTTCGAGCTCAACACTCGAAGATATTTAATTTTTGTATTTTTCATCATCATCATCATCATCATCATCATTACAACTCTTCACAAGTCCACTGCTGAACATATGCCTCCATCAAGGAATACCACAAAGCACGGTCCTGAGCCAACTGCAACCATCGACTTCCTGTTCCGATTTTTGATCGGATGTAATGGATGGATGGAAAGATAAAAATTGAAACAAATCTCTACAAATATAGGAATCACAGACTTCAGTTCAGTTAAAATTTTGTAAGAAAAAAAAAACAACTATATTATATTATATTTATTTTTTTCGTTTCGCAGGCTGAATAATCATTAGGCATAGTAATTGAAATGCTTAAAATAATAATAAAGTTATTAAGACATGGCCAACTCTAGGTTAGTCCTCAACTACCTATATATACTGTTGTAAGGATTAAAATTCTCTCATTCATTCTCAGAACTCTAACAGAGATCCCGTAAAAATGAGTCAAACGCGTCCTAAGCTGTGTGACAAAAAACTTAAAATTGCGGAATTAAAATTATTGAAAATTATAAATAAAATCGAAAGCTTAAAATTAAAAAATTCCTATATTAGGCAGCTAATTTTACCCGCTTATAAAAATCAAGAGAATTCAAAAATTTTGAAAAACAATGTAACATATTGTTTAAGTATTACTATATTAATTTTTATATTCAGTGCGTGGTGGATATTTTCAAATTTTGCTTCCGAGGTACGTATTTCTTTTTAAAATAGTTGTTTATATTTTTGTAAATTCGTTATTCTTTATGTTTAAGTCTTTAAAATTATCTCGTTCTCTAAAATAGTAGGATTTTTTATGTATACGGAATTCAAGGGGTATGTACCATAAGTGTAAGAGGAATATTCTAACTTCATTATTACAATTATCAAACTTTAAAACAAAGCCAACCACGATTCACACTATAGTTACATACACACAATGAGGGCTAATAACTTTGTGCTCACCAGATGTCGCTATTTGACACTGAGGTAAAGTTTTTTGTTACACAATGTAATTTAATTGAGAAGTTGTTGTTTAATAAAAGTTTATCAGTTTCTAGAATATTATATTAATACACAAAACAATGCGTCTGTGGTTTGCTCAATAATTTTTTGCAATTTTTTCTACTTTTATGTATCTATAATCTATATCTGTAATCTATAATCTGTGGTTTGGTTTATTTATTTTTAATATTATTAATATAAAATATAGCTAATAGTACAAAAAGAAACAATAACTTTTACATTTTCCGAACAAATTAACATCCCCACTTTGAAATCTGTTAAATATTATACCTCACTTTCTAGTTTATTGCATATCTTGTGTTTTATTCTAGCGTCGAATTTTAAAACGTTTTGATAAATTAAATAGAATTGCTATTTGACTTTTCTATTCCATAAAATTTTAATAAGAATAAGACAGTATAAAATTACGACATATTTATTTATTTACTTTGTTTATTTTATTTATAAAGACTCACAAACATGTTCGATTCATAACATAGATACTTTATGCCATCAATTAAAAGATCTTTACTTAAAGCACTTAAAGGCAACCACGAGTTAATACTCGTGGTTGCCTGACTGGCGACGGAGGAATACTGAAACATGCTAGCATATTCCTGGCAACAACTCAATATAAAAAACTGTGGTTGCCAATCCGACTGCAAAGCGTGAGGCAATCTACGGAAAAGGCGTATGTTCAGATGTGGAATGTTTTTTTGTATGGAAGAGGAGACAAACGTGCATACGGCTCTCTTGATGGTAAAGGGGTGTCTATTACGTGAGGCGATTTTAGCTATTTTTCTAAACCTCAACTCACGTGAGATTTTTTAAAATGCTTATTTTTAGTGTAAATACGTAAATCTGTGCTTATATGCATTGGGTTTATTAAAAAAAAACAACATATTTTGCTTAATTATTTTTGAAAGAGTAGCCAAATTTTAAACTTAAGCTTAAATACTTACGCGGTACTTATATCACTAATATTGATGTAAGTACCGTAATTGCATTGAAAATACGGGTAAGTAAGGCTTCTAGTTTTATTTGAGTTCATCCCAAATTGAATGTGATTTATAGGCAATCAACTTTTTTACTTACCGATCGACCCTTACGAATGTGTGCGCAGGAATAAAGAAGGAATCGGGCATTACAGTAAAGTTTTTTACTACCGCCTTACGGTATATTACAGAGATGTGCCCTGGAAGTGCCCTCGACTTCCTTAACGCTGTTCCGTCCGCCGGAAGATTGCTCGATGTGTGTGGACGTCACAGGAGTTCAAAGAGTTGCCAACATAACGGCTGAGGAGTTCGAGGAGCGCTTCGCATACAGTCCTACGCCCGTAATAGTCACCGATGCTACTGTTAACTGGAAAGCTATTGAAGTAAATATACATTTTAAACTAAAAAGCTATAATAGCAATAAATTGACCGTGTAGTGTCGGTGTAAGAATAACCACTACCCGTTATCGTCCCGTGGGTGTCGTGAGAGGCTACAGAGGGAAATAAACTAGGATATGGACAGCAGCGTCATCTCAATAACAACGAAAATAAAAAAAAACTGCTTTTGCCAACGCACCTACTGAACTTGGCAACTTTGGCAATTTTCTCCGCTATGAAGGAGGCCTATTTTGAGTATTGGACTAATAGACTGAAACGGTGTAACTGTAATAAATAATAACGTGTGATCATGGCGTTGGAGAGTCCATCACCCAATTTTGAGGGTAGTTGTAGAAGTACGTATTACTATTATTTATTCTGTGGTAGAAGGAGGATTGTGGTGTCGGAAAGATCTCATGGCTTTCAAGCAGTTCAACCATCTTACTTACCTTGTACAAACTACTAAAAAACCTTAGCGTAAACGAAGGCGGTGAGTGCTAAATAGGACTCGACCGGTCTGTAGATACGAGTCGATTTGTTACGGAAGTACGGTTCCGTTAGTTAACGGGACCCTATTAATTACTATTACTATTAAGTTTCCGCTGTCCGTCCGTCCGTCCGTCTATATGTCTCTTCGTCCTTCGTCGTCGTATATCTCATGATCCGTAATATATACATAGTTGAAATTTTCACAGAATGTGTATTTCTGTTGCTGCCATAACAACAAATAATAAAAATTAAAATAAATTAAAATTGATGGGAGACTCTCATACTAGAAACTTGTTTATTTATAGTATTAAATATTGTACGATGGTACGGAATCCTTCATGCTCGAATCCGACTCGCACTTGGCCGGTTATTATAGAATAGTAGTGAAAAACGAGCACATATTCTACCTGATGGTAAGTGGATGTTGTGAGCTGTGACCCATAAATATCTCTACATCTGTCCTCGATAAAAATTAAAATGCATAATGCGTTGTCACCCCTAAGAGCTAAGAGTTGGTTAACTAACTCAGAATTCTCCGTTGTGTTGTCGATTTAAGTCCGGCCCACCTGATCGCCGAGCAAGTTCGGGTAAACCATATTATAAGCTATACAAAGTTCTACGACAGAAGGCCGGTACACACGCGTCAAGTGTTGAAAGGGTTGGATGATCCTTGTGTAGCATACACACATATACACGACCTAAAACATGTTTCGTTAGATCATAGACAATCAATCAAATAAAAGGCAGTCAAAGCAAGAGGTTTGTTTTTTTTTTCACTTTTTAAAAAAATATTAAAACTAACTGAAAAAGTTTGTCGATTTCAATTTCTACTTTTTTTATAGGATAGCGTGAAAAACGAGCACACAGTCCACCTGATGGTAAGTGGTTGCTGTGACCCATAAACATCCACATCTATCCTCAATAAAGAATCAAAAACAGATGCGTTTTCACCCGTGAGGACTAAGATGGAATGCCTCTTTTCCAGTAAAAAGCTCTCCGGTTCTCTACACTCACCATACGAAACACAGCAGTGTTAAGCTGCTATTTTACGCTAGTATTCTGCGAGAGCGTGGGCCTTCCCCGGTCGAACCGACCCATTCGTGCTACATGTATTCTACTAATATAGCTGCAGCATGGCTTTACCACGTTACTTTGTTGATCGTATAAAATTTACAAATACTCGTATAGAGATTTGGAGTAGGTACATCTTTAATAATTCTTACATCCAAATTTATGTATCCTGTAGCGACGGTGTAAGGATATCCACTACCTATAATATCGATACGGTGTCGTAAGAGATAACAGAAGGAAACTGAAACAGGCCCATCTCTTGTTTCAGTTCAGTTCAGTTTCATCAGTACCTTCCTCATAACAATATAAAATTAAAAAATGTGTGTGTGTACTTATGTACGCACGTAGGAAGTTATACTTCTTTAGCGTAACAAAACAAAAAAAAAACTTGAGAGACAATTACCCACTGAAGTTGTCGCTTTTCGGTGTCAGCGTGCGCGCGCATCGTAACAACTTCATGGTGTCGTTTTTAGGTGTCGGTGTGCGCGCTGTGATGTAAACATTCACCCTCATCATTTTTCCCAAACGCCCCAAAAGAAGTATAACTTCAAAAACTGAGGCTGCCAGCCCGCCTGCCAAGCGTAGCAACTGTGGCAATATCCCCCCTATGAGGCAAACTATGGGAAAGCTTATGTTCAGCAGTGGACTTACAGGCTGAAATGGATGGATGGATTCGAATTTACATTTTAAAATTTGAATTCATCTCAAGCTAAGACGTATACGCTTTACATATAATCATAAAACCCGTGCGTAAAACGTATTTTCAGGACTTCAATTTCGAATTCTTCGCGGAATTCTATAGTAACGGCAAAATGGGGAAAAAAATAAACGAATGCTTTTTCTTCGCGTACAAGTCTGGTCTGAAATCGCTTCACGAAGTGATCACGATGGATGCGAAACGTGCGAATCTCTCGGGCGACCCCTGGTACGTCGGCTGGAGCACTTGTTACGACGAGGAATCGAGAAAGCTGAGAGAATACTATAACAGACCATATTTCTTACCGAAGACTTCTGAAAGCGATACCGTGGATTGGATCTTTATGGGTGGACCTGGCCAAGGAGCACATATGCACGTAAGAATACTCGTAGGCTTGTATGATTAAATAAATGGTAATTTTTTTCAACTTCTAGTATTTTCATTTATATATCTGTATATTTACATTATGTATTTTAAGAGAGTTTCAGATTTTTAAGAAAGTAAATTGTTATTATGACACAAATAACTCGATTTCAGTAGTATTTATAAAATAAATTTATAATGATATGTCCTATTATTATCTATATAAAACAGTCAAACGTGCAATTAAAACAAATTGGACACTTCATTAGGTACAGTATAATCCTAAAGAGAGTGTGTACTCAGGTGCTACCTATACAATGACGGCTCTGTCACAAAGTAAAGAGTAAGGACCAGAGGGTAAGCTTCTTAACAACGTCGAAAATGTATACCAATTCTGATAGGGTTGTCATATGATGCATGTGAAAAATTTAAGGAAAAAATAAAAATATTGTATAGCATAAGGCAACATGTGTATTAATTATAACTTATAATATTAATGTAACAACATATCTATTAATTGTTCGAAATCAAGAGCTGTGTTTCGTATCGATTAATTTTAAACAATAACAAAAAAATTAAAGTATTATATAGTGTATAAAACAACATGCGTACAACAGTAATAGTGGAGATGGTGATGGTGTTGATGGAGCCACTGTTGGTCCACTGCCTCAACCACTACCTACGATACTACCACCTCCACCACCACTGACACCATCAGCAATACTATCCACCAACACCAGCACCACTTCCACCAACACCAATCCCACCACCCCCACCAATGTCTGACGATTGTATTCCATCCATAATGCAGTGGTAATTACCCCTGCGGTCGCAACTCAAAAAAAGTAGTAGTAAGTAAAAACTCAGTAAAAGTAGTAAAGTAGTTTAATAATTGCAAAAACAATAAATTAATTGATGTATAATATTTCGAAATATTGTTGGTCTATTTATTTAAATGCGCACGAAGCCCTTTCATGGATACTCTGACTGCGCCGGCGCAAACCGGTTTGTAACCCGACGGAGCGTCGGTGAACCTGTCGGTGATAGCTCACGCAAACATCGCTGCGCTATGTATGCGTGTATTCGCAACGAGCCGTTTGTATGTAGCTTCCCCTCTGGTTGGTTTCTTTACTCATGTGGCTCTGTAACGCAATAATAATAATAATAATAGTAATAATCTTTATTGATAAATATATGCTTCCGCAACAATACAATGCTTGTAATGTTGCGAATCGAATCAAATGGCACGACAAAGACTTCTATACATATGTATAACTAGAATGTCAATTCAGAACAAAAACTGCATCACACTCCGGTCGTGTTGGATTACCGTCCCATCGTACTATGAGAGTAAGGGAATAGAGAGTGCATCTGTGTTCACGCGTACACTCGGGCACTATTATTCTATTCTGTGTAGATGGCTGATCTCTGTTGATACTGGCCACTGTGACGAAGATATTATAACATTGTTTGAACTTTTTAAAAGATTAAAATGTTTGAGCGCAGGTGGACTCGGTGCGGCACGTGTCATGGCAGGCGCAGGTTCGCGGCCGCAAGCTGTGGCAGCTGGCGCCGCCGCCCGAGTGCCTCTACTCCTGCCAAGCGTTCTCCTTCACCGTGCAACCCGGAGAAATATGTGAGCCTGTCTTTTGCATAGATTACACCTAAAATTTAATATATAAAAATGTATATCTGTTGTTTGTCCGCCTTCTGTTTTCCTATACCATGCATCCGATTACAATGAAACTTTAGTAAGTTGTTTTTTACGTTGAGCTATAATATTATAGTTGTAGCACGAATGGGTCGGTTCGACCGGAGTAGGACCACGCTCTCACAGAATACCAGTGTAGAAGCAGCTAATGCTGCTAGCTAGCAGGTTAATATTGCTGTGTTTAGTATGGTGAGTATAGAGGACCGGACACCGAAACGGGGCATTTTCTTTTAGTACAGGTGACAACGCATTTTGATTCTTAATTGAAGATAAATGTAGGTGTTAATGGTCTACATCACCTACTTATCTATTATCAGGTGGACTATGTGCACGTTTATCACCTTAAAATAATTATTCGCGTGCCCAAGAAGTTTTCTGACAAAAGAGGCCTTGCTTGCCGGGCACAGCTAGTTTATTTTAACTATTCTAAGACTGTGCTTGACTACTATCCGATGATGGTAGGTGGTGATACAGCCGAAGATGGTAACTGGACTTAAAAAAGCCTATCCACTATTGCCCTGAAGACACCCACATTGTAATCTGATGGAAACACAGATGCTTATAAATCGTTGACGCTATCCCGGACTTCCCCGAGACAATCGATGCAGCAAAGTACTCGAAACTTCGACACTAAATGAAAAAATCTATAAAATTTTATTCAATCTGTTGTATTCCCATAGATATATGAAATAATTAAATAAGTGAGTTCAACGTGGTTAAGCCATGCTGCAGCTATATTATTGTTGTAGCACGAATGGAGCGGCTCGACCAGGGAAGGACCACGATCTCACAGAATGTCAACGTCAAATAGCAGCTCAATGCTGCTGTGTTTCGTATGGTGACTGTAGAGAACTGGAGATCCTTTTCCTAGATACGACGCATTCCATCTTAGTCTCAATGAAGTACAAGTGAAATGTCTATGGGCCACAGTATCCACTAACCATCAGATGGACTGTGAGTTCATTTGTTACCTATATTCTATAAAAAAAATATATTTTGTTTTTAATTTCACAAATATGTAGATGTTCGCACGATATTTTCCTTCACCACCGAGCGCGATGTGAATCAGCACTTAAAATTGCAATTAACAATTTCATGGCTGCCGGTGGGGTTGGAACCCGTGGCAACTGTCAAATTGAAAGCTACAAAGCCAGGGACTAAGCACTAGCTGATAAATTAATATTTCATTCATTCATTTCAGCCTGTCCATCGCTGAACATAGGCCTATATATTGTCCCATGAGGGGGATTCATATTTGTCATAGTTTCCACGCTTGGCAGGATGTCAGGCAAACGGATAAAACAAATAGAAAGTAAAATACTTTCTAATTGTTATTAGAAAGCCGGTGCTGCCATCTCTCTGATCTGTTCCCCTCTGTCGTCTCTTACGACACGCACGGGACGATATGAGGTAGGGGAAATTTTTACACCGCCACTACACGATGAATAAATATAGAATATGTAAAATTAAAATTAATAAATACTTGACCGAAATGGTGGTAAATTAATTCACAGTGGTGGTGGATACGAACCGTTGGTACCACAAGACAAACGTGATGCCAGGCGACATCAGCATCACCATCGGAGCTGAATACGATTGAACGAATCTTCATTTTTTGTCTAAACATATTAACATATTGTAACTTAATCAAATAAATAAAATAAATTTTACTGTTTAATTAATTTATTACGACCTAAAACCTATTAAAAGTACATTGATTACTGTTACGTCCTACGGCTGCACCTCCAAAGGTTCAATCATCCGGGGCCCATCAGCGGAGACTTCACGAGCAGACGTAGGTCGGGCCTCAATATGGCCACGTGGAATATGTTCTATCACAATAAACTATATGGGAGAAAGCTAGAAACACATAGTACTTACCATTATCCGAAACTAACTTCGCACCAAGGCTTGGGCAGGCCGTGAGTGTGTGTAATAGTGGATGGCGAGTAGTGTACAGTGATGTGTGAATGTGTGGGGCCTTGGCAAGCATAGGCGACCAGCAGCGGCCGAATTCCAGGCTGCTCCAAAATACTGCATCGCTCTAGACTGCTTCAGCGCCGGAACACTTCTTTCTTCATTGTCACTAATTCAGTTTCTTAGTTTCATTGTACATTTAACTAACTTAAATTCGCCTAATTCCACATTCATCGTAGAATCGAACACGTGACACCCGACAGATTCAGCGTTAAACACAAGTTCCTTCATTCGACACCAGAACAACACGTCGCGCCAGAATCAAAAATACGCCTCGTTGACACGCACTTCATCTAGCTAAGATGCACAATTACTTTCAAAGAATTTACTTAAACCGTAAAACCCCATAAAGGCCTCTGGTACGGGAACCTAAATCCTAGACCACCAAATCCGAGGCGGATTTCACGAAACACAATTACGTAGCGAAGCCGCGCCCAAACCCAAATTCTAGACCCTAATCACTCGAAACCGGTCTCCTGCAAACTTCCGCAGCGGTAGCCGAAACACTCGGCCTAACCGGGTCGCTGCTCCCAAGCTACTACCGTCACCTACCGTCTCGCCCGACCGCCAAGATGCTGGGAAGCTCCCTTCCGCTGCCCCCTCTCCGACACACGCGTGACACCTGGTACGATCGGGCGATTGGCAAAGTCGAACGTGATTGGGTAACGTCCTAACATAACCAAATTTGGGCATAAACAATTGCAATAGACCCACATGGGAGAAGGGATATTTGCCATAGTTGCCGTAGCTGAATATGTGATTACTCAACAATGCTAAACTATCCTCCTAACTATAATTACCTCCTTTCTTACATCCCTCGCCCTATATTTTAATAGAATATGGATGACAAATGAGCACACGGTTCACCTGATGGTAAATGGTTGCTGTGACCCGTAGACATTTACATTCGTCCTCAATAAAGAATCAACATGCAGATGCATCGTCACTCGTGAGGACTAAGATGAAATGCCTCTTTTCCAGTAAAATGGGTCTCTGGTTCTCTACACTCACCATACGAAACACAGCAGTATCAAGCTGCCATTTTACGCTGGTATTCTGTGAGAGCGTGGTTCTTCCCCGGTCGAGCCGACCCGTTTGTGCTACAACTATACTACTAATATAGCTGCAGCATGGCTCTACCACGTATAAATAAAGAATCAAAATACAGATTCGTTGTCACCCCTGAGAACTAAGATGGAATGCCTCCCATCCAGTAAAAAGGATCTCCATACATACCATATGAAACACAGCAGCATTAAGCTGCTATTTTACGCTGGAATTCTGTGATACGGATAGGGTAGTAGGGAGAGTACTCCCGGTCGAGCCGACCCCTTCAGTATTTCTCGCTCCGCAGTATTTTTTTGAGTTGATATCAGGAAGCTGCTACAGCCTATCTTGTATTTAAGTTCCCCTCTATCACGTTTTCGAGATCTTTTTTATAGGATAAGGGTGACAAACGAACACACAGTCCACCAGTAAAAAGTGTCTCCGGTTCTCTACACACACTATACGAATCACAGTAACAGCATTCGTAATAGAGGATAGATTTAGATGTCTATGGGTCACAGCAACCACTTACCATCAGGTGGGCTTTGTGCTCGTTTGTCACCCTATACCACAAAAAAAAATCAAAATGTAGATGCGTTATCACACGTGAGCACTAAAATGGAATGCCTCGTTTCCAGTAAAAAGGGTATCCGGTTCTCTACACTCACCATACCAAACACAGCAGCGTTAAGCTGCTATTTTGCGCTAGTATTCTGTGAGAGCGTGGTCCTTCCCAGGTCGAGCCGACCCATTCGTGCTACAACTATACTACTATTATAGCTACAGCATGGCTCTACCACGTAAGGCGTACATCTACGGGCGATGGGATAAGGTGATGTACTTCTCTTACACCACAGGGCATTCTTTTCTCTATATTGCGACCTGTCTAAACTAAATAAGTATGTGCGGCTTGTGTTCGTAAACAAATCCGAAACAACACGGCCATTATTATTGTAATTTTTAAATTTCAAAAGAAGTTAATTGCAATGTTACTTAATTGCTTACGTATCTGTAAGGTCGCCATCTTTTTGTAAATTTGACATGGCACATCTTTATTAACAGTAAAAAAAAACTGAACAATTCGGCAGTTTTGTAAGACGTCGATTCAGCCGCAAATAGATTTAGTCAAGTAAGGAGTGTTTTATTGTACGCAGAGGACCGCGTGGACTTATACTTAGACAGAGGGTAACGCTTGCGTAATGGGTATGGCTACTCACCTTCAATCCGCTGGTGGCCCGTGTTGCTATATACCATGACCACACAAATATGGACAGAATTAAATTAAAAAGATTAATGAGGGCTATTAATTTTCTGCTCACCAGATGTCGCTAGTTGACACCGAGGTAAACGTTTTTGTTACACAATGTCATTTAATTGAGAAGTTAGTTTTTAATAAAGTTTATCATTTTCTAGACTATTATATTAATACAGAAAATAATGCCTCAATGGTTTGCTCTTCAATTATTTGCACATGTTTAACTTTTTTTTATTTTTTTTTTACTTTTATGAATATCTGTAGTTCGATTTCTTATTTTTAATCTTATTAATATAAAATATAACTAATGGCACAGAAAGAAATAATAACATTTATATTTTCTAAACAAATTAACTTCCCCGCTATGAAATCTGTCAAATATTATACCTCATATTCTAGTGGCGCCGCCCTGGTGGCAGAAAAATTCGTGGATGCCCTCATTGCAATGCTTGTCAATGGCACTTATAAACACAACAATGTTATACTATTGATAAATTATATATTTAATTAAATAAAAGCACAATATGCAATAGACAGAACGTCATTTATTCATAACCTGAAGCTTTACAATTCTACATACATGCGGATATATAGTAAACATTTATATACTTTGAACAACAACTGGAATGACAATAACTGTATCCACACTTTAGCTATTATCTGTAACGATATCCGAATTTTTAAAATTAAAGAGAGCCTTGGATGTGAATTTACAAAGTTTTAAGTACATTTTTACTTACAAAACAGTTTATAAGAACAATATAAAAGAAACCATCTCACAACACAATACTACGGAAAATTAAAATTACTACATTTAAAAAAACAATATTAAACGTCGACAATGATCATACAAATTTGGATTTTATTTCAATACTTAAATAAAATCTGAAATTACATTTACAATTTGGCACAGATTGTTGCCATTTGTAAAAAATAAAAAAATACAAATACACCCTCGAAATTACTACAACACACAGAGAAGAAGTTTTAATATATTTAAGATCATAGCATGCCTTACTAATCTACTAACAAATGTCTAATTTTTAATATTTGCTGTTTATTAGGCAATATACTCCTTTTTTTTCTAGACACAGTAGCACTAAGGACTATAATAATTTAAGACAATAAATGAGTAGTAAAGTATTACCATTTCAAAATACCTGCCGCCAACACTACAAGACTACTTGTTAAAGATATACAAATTCCAGAATTAGAATTAGTGTATCTCACTAAAGTATTATTTGTGATGGCAATACATACCCTAGG